ACAATTTTAGAAAACTTCTTTACAATTCCTTTAAAATTTAAGAATTTTGAACTTGACCAATAAGACCATATATTTATCAGTAGATATACCTGGTGTCATAACATAACATAACAGAATCCTTATATAATCAGATAAATCCAAAAATCTTAGTAATTATCCATAAATATGCAATTAACTATTGAAAAACACTTAATATTAAGATGAAATGTTTTTCAATAATTACTTAGTTTATGAATTTTCCAATTTTCCAGATTTTACAGGGATTCTGTTGTAACTTTATGACACTAAGTAAGTTCACTGATGAATATATACTTATATTGACCATTCTTGGAATCTTAAATTTTATGTTCATTCTAAGACGTAGTATCACTTTAACTACACAATTATGTCCTTGAGAGCCATATTTTACGTAACAAATAATAAATAATGATATTAGTAAATGAATTTGAGGAAAACAATATCTATTTGTAATTGAAAAAAAAACACTTAATTAGCCTAGTTAAATTCTGCATTATAAAAACTTACTTATGACAAGGTTTGCTATAAATTGTTTTTATTTTTTTTGTTTAAAGCTTGTGCTGCCTCAGTTTGTCTTACTCTCTCAGCTTCACCTGGGATCTGACCTAATTTTCCTGCTCTATAATCTTCTATAGCCTGAAAAACACATAAAATGATTCATGTTCAATCTGATAAAATAAGGAAAAGTAAGAACCATTTTTTTACAAGGTTATCAACTTAGGTTCACGAGGATCCTTTCTACCAACTGGTCCTTGGCCAAATCTCTTAAATATTACTATCAGCTTCCTATAATAGCCATCATTATATAGAATTTAATAATCTTTCATATTAGAAGCACAAGTTATAGATAAATAAGACAATTTATGGATAGATACTTCTGGAATATTTATAACTTCAACGTATCAATGTGGTTCTCACACCATCATCAGGAATATAATAGAATTCAATAGTTTTTAAACACTACTCACTCACCTGATCTATCTCTTCCTGAGTATTCATAACAAAAGGCCCATAATTAACTATTGGTTCATTAATTGGTTTTCCAGCAATTAATAAGGCATGACAATCTGAAATTATATTTTTTATCATAAAATATTTACATTTAATTGTACCCATGTGAAAAATTTGTATTCATTTATCGATGAATTACAAATTTCCTTAGTGATCTCCGATGACGTCATGACTTTGTAATGACAACTTGGATTTGTGTTGTTGTGTATTCATACTTTGTTCATCCTCAATCTAGCAAAGTAAGTATGTAAAACAGAGCTTAAAATTAATTGACATATAGATTAAGCACAATTTGGCCTCAACTGAATATTGATGAAAATCACAAGATCACCATGAAAATCAATAGATTAAATCAATGCATTGATACAAATCCACAAAAAATGAAAACCATGCAACTAAAACTGTAGCCTGTAGTGTGAGTACAAGACAAATGTTAATGTGTTTTTTTTTTTGCTTAATTTCTTTATGAATATGATATAAAACATTTCCATATATGTCCTGTAAATTGATGCAATATTGCCACTAAAATTGAAAATGTACCTTTTGTTTCTTCTGCATGTATATGAAACTCTGTACCCTTATCACTAAGTACACCAACTTGACCCATGTGTACTGGTAATTTGTTAGATCCTAGAAAACCTGTAAAAACAAAAACAAATTAAATACAAATAGATCCACTAAAAGATAAAGATAGCTTGCTAGGCAAGGTATATTACGCACATTGGCAGCTTTGATTTTAAATAAAAATATTTGACTACAGTATTGCCTCGTTTCATGTGGGCGATTAAAAATATATGATGAAAATTTAGGAGGATAGCTCGCAAGACCACTGGCTTCTTAAGTTTATTAGAATATGTGGCTGAAAGACAATCATCACCAGTATGCAATATTCAACATTTAGTCATACACTTCTTTCAAACTTCTTGTTTGATAGTGCTCTTCCTTCATTATTAATACTTATGGTATTTCCAAATTCTTCATAGAGCAAAGAAAGAAACTCATTTAATATTTATTTTTTAAAGAATTGTCCACAAATGATCATGAAAAAATAAAAGCGTCAATAACTGTGCCTTCTGGAGTGTTTTTACGCAAGAATTTGAATGCTTTTCCAAGAACAAGGACAGTAACTTCTACTAAATATTTTTCCATTTATTTAATTTTCAATAGGGTTTATCCTTAGGAGATAATAAACACTCACACCAAGTTTCGACTAAATCTGTCAAAAATTGTGCCTTCTAGAGTGTTTACAAGCAATTGTAGACTGACACACTAATATACACATATGTATATCAGTAAAATATTGATATGTATTTCCCTTACAAAATAAGCCAATTTACCTGCCCCTCTCCAAACATAACAAAATCCTGTATGAGATAAAGGTACATGTTGAGTAAAACTACTACCAGGTTGAAGATGTATATCTAACATTATAATTGGTATCTTAGTTTCAATGACAGCACTCACACCTAGAAAAGAACAACACAGACAATTAGTCCAAAACATCCACCTCTCTTCCAGCTTCTGATAGATATTTTGACAGTTGTCAGCTGGAGTAGAGTCAGAAAAAATATACCCTATTAATTGGGGATTTATCACACCTCCAGTGATGCATTTTTCTAACATAATATTAAATTACCTTTACAATGACTGTAAATTAGTGTTGGGCATTAACGAAAC